TAAATACTTATCAAGAAATCCAATAATGTATTTTGATAATGGAAAACATTGATTTTATAAATAAGACTAAAAGAATTTAGGGGTCTATGAAAAAACGTTGACGTAATATACGAGGGGGAGATAATAACTGTCTGATGTACGCTGATATACATGGAGAGGAGGGGCCAAAAATGCTAAAAAATGTGTTTATGTAATACTTGAACGCTCTCGAACAAATGTGATCCGTATGTATTTCCACGGGTTATGTCCTGCGAAGGTGACCTGACCATACGGCGAGAGACGTACAACCGTACCCGTCACACGTCAACCGCGCTCAACGAAAAAATCGTCCATACGTCGGCAACACCATCATTTCTATGTATTTGTGAGCGTAAAATCATGCTTGAGATGAGTGGGCTCTCCATGGTATGTCGGCATTTCGTCCAAGGATCCTTAGGGACGAGAAAAAACTACTTTGACCCCGTAGGTACGTAGGTACCGTAGGTAACGCGTAACCGATTCGGATAAGTCACCTCTGGATAGCATTATTTTTTGTCGACCATTCTGGCACTTGTGTCAACAACAGACTCCGTGCGCCAAAAACGTATGTTGTTTCCGATTCCTCCAAGCCTTATTCGTCTGATTTAGAGTATTCAGAAATATCATGCAAAGGCCCATTACGCCGTACTTTTTAACTTTTTATACTTTCAACTGAACACCGATATCTTGCAGTTAAATTGCTTCAAGTACACCCGGATGACTATGGAAGTAAATATTTTTACGGTTTTGCCTTAAACCGACAATATAAAAAAACTCGTCGTATCATTGATTATAATATCATATTCTTATCGTAATTTTTCAACTTTAATATCAAATGTGCAACTATTGATGTTTAATATAAAATTGCCAACAACAATCAAAACCAAAAGAAAACTAAAGTTCATGAAAAATATAAAAGAAAGTATTCTTTTTTATCATTTTCGCCCATCAAACTGTGAATATCATGGGAAACCATCTCATTGAAAAATACTGTGACCACTAACTAGATTATCGTTAAAAAGTAAGTCCACACACTTATTACTAGTTATTACTAGTTAAAACGCCAGTCGGTAATGATAAGAAAAAAGTTATAATTTTCTCCTAGCACGGTAACATTTCTTTTTTAAGTTTGTACGTTCAGTAAAATAATTATAATTAAAAACTTAAAATTTCAAATTAATCTTCAATTAATAATTAACTTAATGATTATTTAATATCTATAAATATACTCCAAGTATCCTGAATTCAAAGAAAAAAAACAAATTAATAATTTTCCTATGTTTTGAAATAAATATTTATGTTCTTCACGTTCAAGTTATACACGAAAAAAAAATATTGAATGAAAATATATTTTTTAATGTTACAAGAAAATTATATTATACTCGTTTTTCATAAGTTGTGTACATCCTTCATTCGCATATTTACTTTATATTTTAATTTGAAATATTAAATTTGTAATGATTCAATATAAATATTGGTTACATGAACTACATTATTTTACAGACAATATTTCTTATTGACATATTAAAATACTCTTAACTTTTATATGCATAGTCGAACAAATAATTCGGATATCAAATATTGATTGTAATATAGTAATATTAAAATTCCGCTTGTTAGAGGCCATACCTAACATCCATATGTTAATGTTGTACTAATTATTGCCATGCAGAGATGTACTTTAGTTCATTTAGATTTTAGATATTTGGTTAACAAAAATTATGTCTTTTCTGCCTTGATGATACTGTTATTTAATTCGATGGACCAGTCATTATTACCACTGATAAAAGCCCCAGGGTGTATAAATTGACGCACTTTTTCAAATGTATGTCCTTGAATCACTACATTGGGAATCTGGTCATTGTCTGATAATAGACCCATAACTGGTCTTATCAATGAAATCAGAGATGAATGGAACAAAAACTTATGTCGTTCTAAAACAAAATACTGAGAATCATCAATGGTTCAGAAGACGAAAATGAACTAGGATGCAAAAAGAAAGAACAAAGAGATTCGATAATTGGCAGGAATTTCAAGAACAACCAACTTTTTGAAAACACAAAGAATCAAATGGTTTGGGAACGTGATGTCGACATCAGACTCAGAGTACCTTAAAGCGGTGGCAGAGTGGAACCCCACTAGGAAGAGACCAAGAGGAGCGGTGGATAGATAGAATAAAGCAAGACTTAGATAAACTAGGGATACCAAATTGATAAGTAAAGATATAAAATTGAGAGGAGTAGAAGGAGGTGTTAGTGGTGGCAAAAACTCTTGAAGAGTTGTGATGCTAGTGAGAGAGAGTAATATTAAAATATTGTTATTTGTATACCACACATCCTAACTGCACTAAAAATCTAAATTTATTGTTCTCTGTAACTTTGTTTTTATACATATTTACTTAATCAAAAAAATAACGATTTATTTTATGGGTTATTTTTTATAATATATTTTTTTAAATATTGGCATTGTACTATATAGTGATATAATAATAATAAATATGTTATAACTATTGTAATGTATGTATATGGTATGTGTCTCTGTAATATATTCAAACTTAAGACAAACTTGATATTGTCATTTCATCGTCTATTTTCGTTATAAATGAAATATTCACTTATTCGAAATAACATGGGATCCAGATGTCTGAAAGTTTGATTGCGCACTTGATATTTATTTATTACAGACCAGATGAGAAACATGATGTATTAAAAAATACTGACTACACATAATATATTAGAAGAATTCTTAAAAAAAAAAAAAAATGGTTTGTGTTATTCTTTTATATGTTGACCTTTCTTTAAAAATATAGCTACTGACACAAAATGTCTTTCCTAAATTCAATATAATATAACAAACTGAAAATAAATAATCATGTTGTAATACAAATAATTATTTTTTTGTCGTTACATTAATAATAACTTTGGTACAAATCTCGATTTATCGTATAAAAAATATAAAATTAAATATGGCCAAAATAGTTTACAATGCATTTTTATTGAAATTTTAAGCTTATATTTTATAAGTAAAGACCGAGTTGCAACGAAATAGACAAATAATAATATACATGTTTTAAATTAAATTACCCTAGTGTATTGCGACGTTCAAAAATGTTATGACAAATATGTACTAATGCAAGTCAAACTACTTATAACAGCGAATACATATATTTGTGATTATTTTCCCTTACCACAGATGCAATATTTCGTTCCTCTCTTATCTCCGAGTTTACACAGGACTACCACCGCATTAACCTTTATGACATAACAACTATAATATGTATTTACAACTCAACATTTCTTCTCAATGGTGCACACTATTATTATACTCTTCATCCACTTATCTGATTGCCTATAATCATTTCATTGTACACTAACTATACCTAGTATCTTCATATTTTGTATTTTCTTTTATTTGTACGGTTTTATCACATATTAATGTTGTAAGTATAAGAAACATTAACTGTAAAGACAAACAATCAAATTGAAACACAATTATTGAAATTAATTTGAACAAAAAACTTTTAATCTATAGTTAGTATTGTTAAGACCGAAACGCCCCTCTTTTCATACAACTAATTACTATAATTATAAATTCATACTATAGATATAGAAAATATACAATTATAGAAAACTTTTTAAACTTTCAAACTAGGAAAATGTACATAAATATGCTGACTCTCAGGTTGCATTACATTATTCTTAAATTTGAATTATATCACTCAATTTATTTCTTCAATTCAATAGACTCAAATGTATTAATTGATATAGAAACATACGGCTCTAGTTAAAATTAAGTACACTTAACTTTGTATTGGAAAATATAGAGTAACGTGCGTAAGTAGAATCGATTAATAGAATCCTAAAGATGTCCAAATGACTTACAAAATTACCGTAAACATATTTTTGTTGAAAACAAGCAGCAGATGAAAATATGAAATTATCTTTCTTTTTAGTTACACGACGACTAATCATCAGTTTAAAAAGAATTTAGTGATTTCAGACCATTAACTAAAATTAAAATATTACATTTTCCTATCGGTGAATTATTTTTGAGTGATGGAGTCTTGTGAAAGAATAGATATATTGTATACGTATGCTGTTTTAAATAACGATCAATAATTGTTGTGTTTTTAAATATTCTATGATAAAACGAACGAAGCCCTTTAGAAACAATTGCAGAGCCCTAAGGGCTCCGTGAAGCACAGTTTGGGAAAAGCTGGTTTAATAAAATAAAGTCATGAATAAAAAATGTTCTTAGCCTTTCCGACAAAAACAATAATATTAAAATAAACTAAAAAACTATATTTATTCTTTCGAATTAAGTATGTTGAAATTATGATTATTTGGCAGCTAATAGATTTTTTTTTATAGATTACAAGTATTTAGTAAGTTTTTCAAGTAAACTTTTCTAAGTAAGCTTTTTCTTAAACGAAACATGCACGAAATGCAATCAAAATAATTTGATTCCAATTATGTATCGTACCAATGAACCTATGAACAAAATCTTAATTACTGTTGTCTAAAAAAAAAAGTTGAACTAATTAAATACTATTAAGCAAAGAAAACAACAAAACATAACGAAATCATGTACACTTCGATATCATTGATAAAACCATATTCTCAAATCTTGGACGGAACATCGGAAAAAAAATTAATTTTTAAACATAGCTACGAGGTTCATCATAACACGAATTACACTATTTTGAAGCCCGGCACTAAAATATATTTAAAATGCAATAGTTGGACGATGAAAAACGAATGGCCGATTTGTCAAGTGCTAAACGAAAGTTCCTCGATTTAAACTCTCTTCGAAAATGTATTACTATCTGCTGTATTGGTAAAGTAAAAAAATATCGTCAGGGGAGAAAACCGACAGCGATGAGCGGAAAACACTTTAAAGCACACTTCGTTAAAACGTTATCGGCAGGTGATCGTACAGTTCCTATTCATTGTCCACTTCTCGAAACAATTAACAATACTAACCATACTCACTCTACAAATGTTCGTTTGATATTCGTATTGAAATCCAACGTCGGTTGTAAAACGTGATCATAAAACGACGCAGTAAATATTAGCGATATAGTTTTCATTGATGGACAATGGTTAATGCGATTATTTTGATTAAAATTACGTTTGATAACAATTATTGTTGCGCGGACCTCGGCGTGTTCACAAGTATTAAGAATCCGAGCGATTGACCCGAGGGACCTATCACAGGTGTTGAAACAGAGATAACGCGGTGTTCGCGCAATGTATATATGTTTGTTGTTAACGGTTTATTTCGAATAATGACGGTGCGTTGCGATTACGAGCGACGGCTTTCGGTCGACGTGTTTTTGCGGCGGACGCGAAAGAGAAACCGAGCGCGGTCGTTTCGGCGTTCGATTGCACGTCCGTATGGCACGTGTCGACGGCTCGTCCGACAAAAATACACCGGCATACCGCATAACTGCCCGATTCGCCCGGCAAGCGGGCGCGAACGCATAACGCCAACGTCGGACGCACGTTTCACGCATACGAACGTACCGGAACACACATTCTAAGCGGCACTCCAACGAGATCGTCCACCGCCGTCGTGCGGTTCGTAGACGCGGTGCTGTCCTGCGGAGGAGCCGTACGGCGGCAAGATCGACTCCTGTCACTACCGATCGTAAAACGAGAATATTTCGGTCGGCGGCGCGATCGCCCACCGCCGCCGGGGGCAGCGTTCAATTATCACTGGTCAGCGTGCCCCGCGTACGTCGTTATGTTTAAAAACACGTTCCGGGATGTACAGCGTTCGCGTGCGGTACGAGAGTTGCGCGCCGACGAATCCGTCGTCGTCGTCGTAAGCAAGTCGGGTGACATTAAACTTACGGCGCCCGTGCGTGATGTTGTGTACCTCGTACGTTTATTGTTTATTGTTTTTTACGTAAGCGCACGCACGAAGCGACGCGCATACCTTCAACGCGCCGAGCGAGTGGCTGAGAGCCCCGACTAACCTGCTAGCACACCGTCGGACCCGTGCGGACCGCATCGTTACGATCTCGACGGTAAAATCGCCGTAACGTGACACGATCGAGTACGGTAGAAAAAAAAAAAAAAAAAAAACATTGCCACCGGGAAACGCTACGAGTCGATAGGACAATAGTTACGGGTTAATGGTTATACGTATAATAGATATATATATATATATATATATGTAGAGCAGTGTTATCGTACTTGGAGCACGCAGGCCGTCTCTAATGCGACAGCGATCGGCGGCCGGCACGTGGACAGCAACCGCCGCGGTCGTCGTCGGTGCACCAATGGACGCCGGCGGCGTCGCCGCGACCGGTGCGTGGTCGGCGGACGTGGTCGGACGGCGGCCGCATGACGGACGCG